TCTTTGGATTTAAAGTAGCGGCTCTTGATGAGATTTTTTTAATAAATTTTATTATAAATAAAATACGTGTAACTTAAGTTAAATTTATTAAATTTATAACAAATATAACAACAATAAAACACAAAATTGTATATATTTTATTAATATACGAGGAAAACACGTAAATGAATTTCTTTCATTTTTGTCTTCTTCATAAATAAATAGAAATTATGAAAAAAAAAAAAAAGAAAAAAAAACAACAATTTCGTTATTTATAAATAATTGATTAATGATTGATCTTCAATTTGATTTTTATTTTCTCGTGAGATTTTTGATTGACATTTAACCATATGACGTATTTAAATTGATAAATAATAATAAATAGAACGAATTAATTAAAGTTATCTTTCATTTCTTTTTTTTTATTTTTTTTTATTTTACGCATCTCTAAACACTTTTTTGTTGCTATTAAAAAAAAAAACAACTAAAAAAAGAAAATGCATTTTTAATCAGAACTTGTAGGACACACGAGCAATAGTCAAGAAAGTTTTTTTTTTTAATTTTATTTCGCAATACTTCACACGTGTCACAACATTGCATTAAGTTTCACATTAACGTCGTATAACACAACATCGACTAAGATAGTAGTATCTCCTTGAAAATAATTAGCTTAAACAATTTTCTACATTTCTCAATTTAATATTTTTAAAAAAAATTATTTAATGCATTTTTAATTTAAATCAATTATTTTCAAATTCATATTGTCACACGTTTATTTCGAATAGTTTTCACTGCTAAACAATTAAAAAAATAATTAAATATACATTTTTTCTTTTTTATTATTATTATTACTGATAAACTATTAATTAAAAAAAAAAAAAAAAAAAAAAAACATGACAAAAAGAAAACTCTCACGATATGATTGACATTATTATTATTTTTTGTTGTTGTTGTTTTATTTCTCGTCTCGCAATTGATTATATAAAACAATACAACGTTACAATTAAAAATAACAATAATAATAATAATAATAATAGTTATACAATCTCAAACTAACGATATACTTTTTACTTTATTATCCAATTGAATGAAATATTATTATTATTATTATTATTTAAATATTTATAAAAAAATATCATGAAAAAAAAAAACAACAAACTGTTTTATATTGTTTTAAACAAAAAATAAATTTTCAAAATACATTACTCACCTGATATTTCATTATAACTCTTCTTACGAACCTTGGTTAATTTATTATTAGAATTATCTTGCATGTTTACAGTTAACTAAAAATAACACAACTAATAATAAATAAATCTGTTGAACAAACTGACTATTATTAATTCACTCTGATGAATTTGATTTAAGTAATGTATATCGAATGAAAGAAATAATTTTTGAATAAACATTAAATAAGTGTCACTGAAGATTTTCTGTTGACTGTATATGTTTCTATTCTTGTGATGTTGCTTCATCAAAGTTCATCCTAAAACTGATGGTAGTATTCAATTCAACGTTTATACTTGCTGTTGGAAAATATTTTTTCACTTGCTCGGGTGGGGATGAAAAGAGAAAGGTACAGTTGGTAGTTCAAGTGGGGATAAGTTTCTTCAAGAGAAAACGAAGGTTCTTTCATTCACACATATAAATATCTACATGTATATGTATTTGTATAACATGTATATAAGGATTATCATTAAATCAAAGTTTTCTTATTTTCATTTTGTTTTATACTTAGTGTCGAATTATAATTATGAAAATAATTTAAATAATCTCTCGTTTCGAGATATTTAAAGATAGATTCATATATTTAAACATTTTATATGAATTTTTGTATTAATATTGAAATAAAAATTATATATATATATATATTTAATATTGAACGATTCATTTTGAACAATATCGTAAAAATTACATCAATGTATGTAACTTTATTAATTAATTAATTAATTTATTTTACTTTAGTTAAAAATTAATTTATTGTTTTAGTTTTCAAATAACAATTACTTTGTTTTTCGTTTAATTTGAACAATACGATTTTCATCATGATGGATACATTTATTCTTCCCAATGGAATTTTTCAGACGATCAAAAGTCTGCAAAATACTGTATCCTTTTTTTTTTTTTTTGTCAAAATGGCCGCCGTAGTAAATAATCTCCTGAGGCCTTCAAGGCGAAACGCATCATCAATCATGATGATTTTTAGCTTTGGTTAAAGCAATTTAAAATTTCAAAAAAAAAAACTCGTCGGAGCGTGTTCATAAAACATGTATCTTCTAGTTGAACTAAGAAAAAAGTAAAAAGTCCAAAAAAAAAAATCGACTCAGACAAAAAAGTCGGATTTTTGACCCCTTTCTTTTTTTTCAAACGGTTTTTCAATCAAAAATGGCAACTTTTTGATTATTTTTCTGGCATTTTTTTAATTCAACTAGAAGCTAATATTATAAAGAAAATATGTGCTAAATTTCATATGAATCGGTTGAAACCCTTTTTCAGTTATCATCTTTACAGCACAGTTTGAAAAAAGACGACAGTTCGTTTCGAGAAAAACGCGTTCAAAGTTTAGCACTCGCGTTTAGCGCCGAGTTAAGGCTAGAGACGCTTAAATGAATTTTTAATCGATAAATAATGCGAATTTTATTCTTAAAATTTACAGGCATATTTTTCAGATGATAAACTAAGTGTTTATGAAAAAACGAAAAAAATTCGATTTTTTTTTTGTTATTTTACACGTATCGCCATCCTTAATCCATTACCCACCCATTCGCCCCTATGGATTCTTTTTCGAATGCATTTTCAAATTTCTTTTGTTTTTTTTTTTTTTTAATAACTGCAATTTCAAAATGAAATACATTCGTTCAAATGATTGAGATCGAACTTCGTGTATTTATAACAAAATATTACAAATACTTACAATGTTATTCTAAAACATTCGAAAATTAAGTTTAAAACAAATAACCTGAGTCACGTAATTATTTCTGATATCGCATAATGTTTTATGATAATTACTAAATTACAAACTTTTGATAAAAATTTGTCCTATTTTAACCTTCATTTTACACATCCATCAAGAAATATTATTTCAAACGTAGGTACATGTGTTTTTCAATTTGAAATGCAACGTCTTCATTTTTAAGGGAAAGTTTTGTAGACAAACTATTATTTACTGTCCTTCATCTATTCATCAATCATCATCAAAAGAGATTTGAAGAGTTGATACGACAAATATCAAGGGTCGTGTTTACAAATTCACAGAATGTTTCAATGATTCATAGAAAGGTTCAAAGGTACGTCATTTTAACAAAGAGAAAAACATATTGTATTAATTTAGGTTAGTTTACAGCTGAATAGTTTTCCATTGACAAACAAACAATGACCCTCCAAAAAAAAAATGGAAAAGGGTCTATAAATCTTATATTTTAATGAAAAATTCCTATAGATACCTGACCTTCATTAAAAAAAAAAAAAATAAAAAAAATAAAGAGGGTGATTCTTGAAACGGAGACGAGTAATAAATTTTTTTTCAGTAAGTAATAACAATAGAAAAAAAAAATCCTAAAAGAAAAATTTATATTGTTCACAACACATGTGAACTTTCTATAACCTTACTTTTTTTTGAAAATGCATCGATGCACTCGCTAGACTGTATAACAATGTATTGGTATAGACCGATACATCCAATAATCCGGCACCCCCAACCTCGCCGTTCTACGCCTATGCGCTCCGTCGCCACGTCGTCGTCTAACCATCTAACCTCAAAATTTGTGATGATTTTTTCTCTATAATCCAGTAATCCGAACATTCCCAGAGACCTTGTAGGAGGGACGCGCCATACATATTGCTGGGGTTGCTATTAGCTGAAAATTTTGGGGGACAGCTTCCGATGCAACGAGCAGCCATGTTTATCTTTAGTATGTATAAATAACGGCTGTGGTTAGTTATGAAGATATAATATCCAGAAATCCTAGCTGATTTATTAATATTGTCAATTAAAAACAAATTTGTACGAATGATTAAAATAATTTGTAAATATAATATATATATA